ATTTTCAAAGCTCTTAAATATCACCCTTAGAATTACTATGATTCATGATCATATGCATTAACAAATCATTGCCATTGCTTTTGAGGTCTGAAGATCATTTATCTGCCATCGAGATGGAGAAATTACAAAGACATGTAAATACTAATTTCTGTTTAGCTTTAGTTAACTAGAAAAAATAAGAAATGATATCCAAGTTACTTAATTATAGTTTAGGAAATAATTTGGCCATATGCAGTAAACCAAATTAAATTAACTAATAATTGAACTCGATAGAGCCCATTTATAATATATGGCTCATTTACAGCCTTATAGGCTTTACAGCTTTAACTCTTTAAGGTTTGGTATCGAACAAAGCCCGCTGGGCCTCTTGGCCTTAGGCCTTCCTAAAGCAATGATAATCCTAATGAATACGTTTAATCAATAATGATTTCATTAGGAGTATTTCCATCTCTATAAGATAAGCCAATATTTAATGAATCTGCTTAACCAATAATGATTATTTTCTTCTTCGCTCCACATTTTCTCTTTAAATGCTCTTCTTTATGAACTTTTTGGGTGCTCTTGATTTGAATTGGGACTTACTATAAAAATCATTGCTGCTTCTTTATTCAGTTCTTTCGTGCACTGATAAACTATCCTCGTTTTTTTCTTAAATTCTAATTTTATATGCATCTTTTTGAAAAGTAGCACAATTTTATTTTAATCATTGTATAGATTTGATTGTCATACAACATAGTGTCCACTATGCATTTTTCTTGCTTAAACAAGGTATGAAAAGTAAAACATATAATGTAATAAAGATAATCTTGCACATAAGTAACATGAAATGGTCCCCAAACATCATAGTGTATTAGTTCTAAAGGTTTATACATATGATTGGTAAACTCAAGGAAAAGTAATTTGTGCGCTTTTGAAACGATACATGAAGAACATAGAGAAGCTAAAACAGAAATATTTAAGTGCTTGTTGTGCACGGAAATAGTTGAAATTGTTTGTGGATAAAGATGACCAGGATGATGATGCCAATGCAGATTGGATGAAGTGGAGGTGAGCATAGATTTAGCTATTGGAGAGTTGCTGATTGGATATAAGCCATCAGGGGAAGTTCCTTGAAGGAGAAGTTGGTTTGTCTTCATATCCTTTAGATAAAAGCCATTAGGACTAAAGGAGATAGAGACATTATTATCTTTGGTGAGATTGAAAATGGAGAGAAGAATATGGGATAGATAGGGGACATGTAAGACAGAAGGTAGAGTGAGCTTACTTGATGGTGTTGGTAGGATACCTTTATATCGGTATGAGAAATCGGAAGTGAGACATTGTTGCTGATAGTAAATTCGATATGTGATGTCGTATGGTGTGGGATCAATAAGGTTGTCGAAATGTGGAGTAAGATGCGAGGAAGAACCTGTGTCGACGTACCAATCTGTACTCGGTATGGAGAGGCAACGAGTGTAGTTGGGTTTGGAAGTGTGTAGTTGGGGTTTATTCGGTGCTAGCAGATAGTAGTGGTATGACTGTGTTTGCCACAAATTGGGCAAATGATAGGAGAGATGTTCGATCGTAAGGCTTTCTGAGGTGGAGTGCTGCATTGGGGTTGAGGTTGGTTGCGACCTTGACCATGATATTCGTGTCCTAAGGAGACGTAGAGAGTAGATCATGATATTAATTTGATTCTGCTGAGAGGTTGATTTCCTCACTGATTAGTTGTGAATAAATATCTTCTAGGATTATTGAAGTGAAATTTGTGCGTATTGATGTTTTGGAGGCTTAATATTCTTGAGGTAGACTGTTATATATATACCTTATGATGTCTTCTGGATCGATGGATGATCATGCAGCCATAATGTTGCCGACCAGGGTTTTGATATCTATGATGTACTTAGACATTAAGAGTGTTGACATGGAGATGTTGTGTTGGTTCTTAAGATGAATGACACGATACTGGTTGAAAGCTTGAAGCCTTTGTTCAATCGTTAACTAGATTTCTCTGCTTGAGTCCAAATGAAGAACATATGGTAGAATAGTTGTTGTAATGGTACAGCAGATGACAACGACGAGGTTTTGATTGATGAGAATCTAGTTGTTGTATTTTGGAAAAACTTTTGAATGCATGGAAGGTCCGAGGTGCAGGCACGAAGGAGGTAGGAGAGTTCCGTCAAGATATTGAACAAAACCATTAGCTCTAAAGAACTTGAGGATCTGTGAGCGCCAGGTAGGATAGTTATCATTGGAAAGTTGGAGTGGAATGAGGTGTTTGAATTTTGAGATGACGAATTTGAATGAGGAGGGTATTTGGGTTTCAATTTTTGTGATAGTTGCGGCTTGTTCTCCCGTTTGGGAGGTTGTAGAGAGATCCACAGGGAAGAGCTGCCGTAATACAATAAACTCTGATGATATAAACAAAATGATACAATAGATTTCTAAAGCTCAGAATAGCATGATTCAATATAGTATATAAAAGTAGCAATAAGACATAGCATTTCTTAAAGCTTTTTGTATATATAAGTATTTCATCTTATATACATTTGCTTATATATGTAAAAGGTTGGTTTTCTAGGTGTAAAGGTACTCAGAGAAAGTGATTTTTCTTTACACGTGTAGATTGTAGATGCATTAGTTTGTTTGAAACTAATGGTGATGATTTTATTTTCTAGATGGTTGTTGTTCCCTTCGGATGAGCTTACAAAATTGCTTATATAAGCAAAGATATGTGCGTGTGATTAGGATGTGGTCATAATTGGAATGCCTCAATTTAAATTTTGGGTGTGCAAGTGTCATGCTGACCGAACTGAAAGACTCAAACTCGACTAAGAGAATTTATTACGTGTGGAGTGTAGGTGCCGTCCGGACTCCAATCAGAACATGCCATGTTAGCATGAACACACAATGTGTACATGCTAATGTGGCCAGTTCTTATTGGAATCCGGATGGAAGCTACGTCCGGACTCTGTGCGTAATAGTTTCTAGTTAACTAAAGTTTGGTGTGATGGTTAAGCTCGAACAATATTAAAGCGCGGTCAATGAACCTATCAATCCAAAATTTCAACAATGTTGTTTTAATAACTCTAAGACCGATTGTTGTAAAAATAGACAGCCAATGCAGGATCAACAGCAAAACAGTAAAGAACAACAAAAGAAACAATTGAAAGATGACATAAGAACACTAAAACAACAAAAAACTGACATAACAGAATTCTAAAACAACAAAAACAACTATCTCCACCAGGAAAACAATCTCCAACCTTCCTTAAATCCTCTCCGGTTCCCCTTCCACCTCGCTCCAGAAAATGACTTACATTGCCCAAACATATATAACCCTCCAATGTCACCATGCAAACACCATAAGACAAAAATAACAGAGCTAAAAAACTGATGAACAACAGAAAAAAATTACAATGATCAAGAAAAATTATTTGGACCACAATCTAAACGTCTCTTCGTTCAAATTATTCATTGAAATAAAGATCGCTATATTTCGCAGTCGGCACTTATCACTCCATTTCCCGCTACCTCCTTCGTTCCGCCCATCTTCAAAGCCCTCAATGCGTCCACCATCCGTCCCAACTCTACTTCCGACGACCCTCTTTCCTCCACCGCCTTCATGTCCCTCGCCTTCCTCCTCCTTTCCTCCGCTTCCTGACCTCCACCCAGCACAGCCTCCACCGCTGCCGCCACTTTCTCCGCCACCACCACCGTCCTCTCCTCCTCCCTCATGCTATTCACCACCGAACCCACACCCACACCCACGCCCAGCACATCCACTAAAAGCCTCTCATTGAATTGCTGATCCGAAAATAATGGCCATGTCACCATCGGCACACCCGCCGCAATCCCTTCCAGACAAGAATTCCAACCGCAGTGCGTCAAAAATGCTCCCACCGCCTGATGCTTGAGTATCGCAAGCTGCGGCGCCCATCCCTTTATCACGAACCCAATGGATCCTTCTCCGGAAACCGGAACATTTCCCTCCGCCACCGGATCTTCCCTTACCACCCACACAAAAGGCCGGCCGGCCGCCTCCAACCCCGCCCTGATCTCTTGAAATTGGGCCGCCGTAAAACGCGGCAGGCTACCAAAGCACACATAAAGAACAGAGCTGGCTTCCTTTCCGTCGAGCCAATCAAAAACTTCGCATTTCGCAACCCCACCTGTGTCTGCAGAATGGCGGGAGAGGAAAACAGGGCCTACATGCCAGCTTCGCACCCCTCCAGTGGATTTGAAAGAATCGGCGTAGGCAGGCTCGAGTTCGTAAAAGGTGTTCATAACCATGCCGTAATTTTCTTCCCATGAAGAGGCAAATCCGGTGGTGAACTCTGACGGCGAAGTGATTATCTGCGGCAACTGGGATCGGGTCATCTTGATGGAATGAGTTAAGCCGGGGACGAGAAAAAGCTCATCAGAGGTGGAAACAGAGTCATAGAGACGAAGGAGGCTGATGACGCTCATGAGGGTGAAGGCGAAGTAACTGGTGCCATGGAAGACGATCCGGGGAATGCCGTGGCGCTTAGCGAGGGCGGTGGTCCACGGGTAGAAGATGTCGGAGATAATGCAGTCTGGTCGGTGGGTGAGGAGGAGGTTTTCGACGTGAGATTCAAGGCAGCAGAGGGAGGCGAAGAAGTCGGGAGTGACTTCTGGGGTGGGAAGACTCGTTAGGTTTTCGGGCTGGTGGAGGGAGTTCTCGGAGATGAAAGGGATGGTAAGGAGGTGAATATTGGGGTTGTTGTAGTCGGAGAGAGAGAGGCGAATGAGATCGGCGTTGGATGGAGTGGTGATGATGATGCTGCGTATGCCTCGACCGGAGATGAGAACGGCGAGGTCAAGCATGGGGATCATGTGGCCGGGGGTGAGTAAAGGGAGGAAGAAAATGTGGAGTTCGGCGGTGGAGGATCCCATTGTTGGCTATATTCGGAGCTAATTAACCTGGAGGGAAGGGAAGATCTAATTGATGCTGCAAAGCTTTGGAACGTTGGTCGGGAATTTGTAGTTGTGGGAGCGCGTGAGGGTGGACAGGACTGCGCTTTTAGACCTGAATAAATATAAAATATATTTTTAAATTAGAATATATATTATATAAATCAAAATAATAGCATTTTTATGATATAAAACATTTTGCATGTCACAAATTATGCTTCAATATAGTTAAATTATTATAAAATAATATAAAGTGTCAGAACCAGAAAATATATTGAGGGGGCCTAAATTATTTGATTAAAATTCTTACTCAACTTTTTTTTCTGGACTTAAAATCGGCATAGACAGTTTATAACGTCTACTCTTCGTATTATGAAAGAGTTGAATGATTGCTTCATTTTCAATAAAATCTAAATTTTCTTTCTCAATATAAGCAATTAATAAGTCATTCATTTATTAAATCCTTTTTCGCAGTCTATTCTTTATAATATTCATGAAAGGAAATGCTCTTTCGACACCTGCTATAGCAATGAGTAATACTAATGCTAGTTTCAGTAGTTTAAAAACAACATGATATATAATATCTTTTCTACTTTGGATAATTTTCTCAACAATGTTTCATATATCTTTCAATGAAGATAATTGATCATCAGATCGCATATCCATAATATAAGTATCCAATTGATTTTCAAAAAACATCTGTCAAAAAGACCAAAATCAGTAGGATAAAATTGTGTTCTTCTAATCAACTTTTCTTTGCTGAATGCAAAAATTCATTATTAGGATTCAAACAAACAATACACAAAAGCAGTTCGGTATTTGCTTTTGTAAAACGATTGTTTAACTCTTGAAGCTACAAATCAATCACTGTGTAGAAAATTTCAACTCGAAAATGATATAAATTTGTTATATCTTCAGCTCTGCACTAAGGTCGGTTGCGAGCAGCCCATTTTTCATCAATTTGTGAAACATTTATTTTTTTTGCTCGTAGAATGAAGTTACATTATCGATGAAGTCATTCTACTTGTTATCTCTCATATCATACAATCTCGTTTTACATATACGTATCAAAGACATAGCATTTATAATAATTTGTTCTCTTCTCTGTAAAACTTGTGATAGTTCATTAATGATACAAAGTACATACTTTATCAGATGTAGGCAAAAAGAAAATTCAAAGGTTTGTAATGACTCTAATAATGAATATACATAATGACTAAGGAAATCTACTACCTACTGGCATGTCCGCCGGCCACTGACAACCGGCCGCCGCATCTTGTGCACACGCGTGAGCTGTCGAGGGAGGAGAATCCAATTTCCGCAATGTCACATACTGTGATGCCCCAGAATCAAATAGTGAAAGGATTCGTCTGACATTCTGATCGAACTCCATTCCAGTTGTCTTGCTCGGACCTGAAAATTTAAACCACATATAATGAGCTTACAAAGCCCAGCAGGTCACCAAAGCCTACAACTGAAATCAAAGCACGGCGATGCTATCAATATGCAGGTCAATATAAAATCAAGTCAATCAATGGTCAATGAGTCTATGCAAGGCAGAAATCCATCGTCAATGAAATCAAGTCTATACAGCGGAAATCAAATCAGCAGTAAAAACATCGATAAATAAATACGTCTCAGCAATCAAATCAATAAGTGCTCCTAGTCAATGTCCAATCAACGTAGTAGTGTCTATCAATCTATACTATCTATACTATCAGGTCAATCAACCGTGTCGTCTAATCAATTCATCGAATCTATATCATCTATTCAATCAATAAAGAAATCCATAAAGCTCAAAATCAATGCCTCAATCAAATCTCTACAGTCTCTATCAATTGCTATCAATAACATCAATACGGTCATCTAGTCGTCTTACTTATCATATCCATCTATAACATCAATCACATCAATAGAAAGGAATCATATCAGTCAATACTCTTGCAAATCAGTCAGTCCAACACTACGGTAGATTCGATAATGACGACGTACGATGCTACAGTAGGAAAATCATCTCAATCAATAAAGCACTTTCCAGTCAATTATATCAATCGGCTCAAAATCCCAATAAACAGTCAAATCAATACGGCGAAAGATCAATTGAAATCAAATCAATACAATGAAATCA